CTTCCCTTTATGTAAATGGAAAATAACAATTAGTTTATTTTTGCTTGTGCAAATTACAGCTCCCAGGGAGCCGCCAGCTGCCAGGGCTGTGCTGGAGCCGCGCTCCAACCTCAGCCTTTTCCATGAATAAATAACCTGGTGGGGGTGGGAAGATGCTCCCTCTGCTTTCCCTCCACTCTCATGCATGGAAAGGAAGGATTGGAGGGGGGTTAAAACCCAGGGAACCTTTGGGTTTTATGGTGTGGGTAATTAAACACTGAGCTGATGATTTAATTGGAAGCTTGGCAAGGAGGGATACGGAGTTGTGGGGATAGAGAAGGGAAGAAGGGCATTCCCAGGCATTGGGGATGGCGACTCCAAGGAAAGATGCATTTCCCAGACAGCTGAGATAGCAAAGGGCATTGGCTGGCAGGATCTGATCACGTCTGGATCTGAGGACTGACGCTGTCCTGGAATGTTTCCCACTTGGCAGTGAGCTGTTCTCCCTGCACACACATGGATGTACATCCTGCATCCCACAGCTTGCATCCCATATCCCACCTGTTTTATCCCACCACCTGCACACACACACAGGCAGTGATGGGTACGAGTTGGAATTCTTGGGATTTGGTGGTGTTGGATCCTCGATGGAGTTTATCCAATCAGGGAAGGGTGGGCTGGGCAGTGCCAGGCTCCTTCTTGATCCTCACGATCCAGAGCTTCCCTTTCCTCCTGGATCAAGGGACAGTGACAACCAGCACACAGCCCGCTGCAGGGAGCATCCCATATCCCACATTCCATATCCCAACTCCTACGCCCCCTATCCTGCATCCCAGTTCTCATATCCTATTTGTCATGTCCTTTATCCCTCATCCTGCATCCCACATCCAACATTCTCCATCCTAGCATCCTGTACCCTGTGTCCCATCTGCATCTCACACCCAATGACACATCCTGTATCCTTGCATCCTGCATCCCATATCCTTCATCCCAATATCTGCATCCCACCCCACATCTCCTGCATCCCACAACCAGTGTCCTGTATCCTCACACCTGACATCCCACATCCTAAATCCTGCATCCTCCATCCCACATCCTGCATCCCATATCCTGAATCGCCCTACCTCCATCCCACATCCAATGTCCTGTATCCCTGTATCGCCTCCATCTCACTGTCCATGTCCTGTATCTGTGCATCCTGCATCCCACCTCCTGTATCCCATATCCCTCCTCCTGCATCCCACACCCATGTTCTGGATCCAACTACCTGCATCCCAATTCCCACAGCAGCAGCAGCAGCACCCCTGGGTGGAGCAAACCCACCCAAACCCAAGGAATTTGGGATAAAATCCCAGCTGTGGTGCTGTACATGTTATGCAGGGGGGGTTTCCATGTCCTGGATTTCGGGATGGACTTCACTTCCTGCTGAGTTTAGGAATGACATCAGTGGAACTGGGATGCTCTGGCTGGGGGAAGGCAGAGAGCGGGAAAAAATTCCAGCCTTCAGGATGAGCCGTGCAGTGCCAAAGCCATGACCCAGTGGCAGAGTTCTGTTCTACCACCATGAAAAATTAAAATAAATTTATTTTATATAAATATATTTTTATATAACAGGGGCAGGGTGGTGTTTGTGTTCCAGGGATGCAGGAATATTGCAGAGGCAGGCAGACACAGAGCATGGAAAGAAGGAAGTGTGCAAAAAATCCAACTCTGGAGCCAGAATATAAAGGTCCACTCGAGCCAAAAAATTCCAGCTCCAAACCGAGCCCAGGCTGTGCTCACAGCGGCTCAGCCCTGAGCTTGGAGCCAAATCCAAGATTTTTTTTTTTTTCTGTCCAGGATTAATTTGGCCAAGATTAGAATTAATTCCTGCTTTTTAGGTGAACATTACCCCAGATTCCTCCATGCCCAGCAGCCCAACCTGCTTCCACCCCAGGACTGAATTCCAGGACTGGAGTTCTCACCTCACGGAGATGTCAGGATTTGTGGAGATGTCAGGATTTGTGTGAACACTGGAGCAGTTTTAGGACAAACCTGTGGGGTGGGAGCATCAATAACTGAGGATGAAGGAGCGAGGGACACTTTGGAGCTGCTGGATTGATCATCTTCTTGTGGTTTTTCTGCCCGATCCCAGCGATCCTGGTAATTCCTGCTTGGAGGTGGCACGGAACACCCTGCACCGCTTCAAGGGGACTTTGCCAGGGGCTGTGCCCAATCCCAAGCATCCATGGATAAGGTGTTCCAGGGTACTGCTGTGTTTGGGGGTGAGCACCCCCCAAAATCACCCCTCTGCCCCGTGGAAAACCCACGGGCCGGGAAGCTGGAGGAATTCCAGCCATTTCCCAGCTCAGCAACGCCCACTGAGCGGGCAAGAAAAGCTTAGAAATGGGGTTAAGGAGCTCTGCAAGAGGGGGACATGAAGAGGATCCCCAAGTCCCCATGTCAAGCAAGAGGGCTTGTCCCCATGTCCCCATCCCAAGTGCCAGGCAGCCCTTGGAGCATCCTTTTGGATTGGGCTGCTGTTTCTACCATTGGAAAAGGCTGAGGACAGAGCTGAGGACGCAGGAGATGCCCAGGATGAGCGGCGGGACCGCAGATCCTCACAGGAGGGGACAGTGTGGTATCCTGAGGTCCTGCTGCAACCCCAAAAAAGCAGCAGGAAGATGGAGAAGGAGGCTCCAGCCCCGCTCAGGGATCAGGAAAAATGAGGGAAAAGCTTTGAAACCAGGTCAGAGTGACCCCAAGCGCCACACGTCCTCCTGCAGCAGACGTGGTGGCACCTGCGGATGTCCGCAGTCCTGCGGCACACGGGTGACGCATGACCCCATCCCGCCACATCCCCATCCCAAAACATGTGCCAACACGCTTGGAATGCACACACATGATCCTGCAAATATTGCAGCCATCCCCAAAAAAAGCTGCAAACCCAAACGGGGATAGCCCAGATACCACCCAGATATCCCCCAGAGCCCAGGGTGCAGAGGAGGCTCAGCCCCAAATAGGAGAAGAGTCATAAACCAGCCAAATCTAGGCTTAAACCACTTTAGGTTTTATTATTTATTCAGCAAAGCCAAATCCCAGAAAGCCGGGAGCTTCAGGAGCACGGACAAGGTCAGGATGATGGGGCAGAAGGGTGCGATTCCACCCTCAAATCTCCCCAAAAAACTGTGGGATGGGATCCCCCATGGAGAACCAACATTAATGGGTGGCAGCAACACCCTGTGTCCTGTTCCACCTGTTAGGGGATTTCAAGGAGGGTTTGGGGAAAAAAAAAATCAGTGGGGACCTAAAAAAATAAATCACAGTGGCGCACGGAATTGGGAATCCCTTCAGGATAAAGAGGAAGGGATAATACCTGGATTGCCAAAATAATCTGGGATCTTTCCCAGATTGTTGCACCCCAAAATAAAATCAAAAGGAGAGGGCAAAGGGGAAAATTGGGAATCCGAAATTGCTGCCTTCGCTCGGCCATGGAAGCGGGGAAAGGATTCCGGAGCAGGAGACGATCGCGGTCACCTCACGGACAACATGCTGTGTCCTGGGCAACAACCCATGGGACAGTGCTCCCACAAAACCCCACACAGACCCCAAAGTCAGCTCTGCTTTCCCAACCAGCCCCAGCCCAGCTGGGAAAAGGGGCAATGACCCCCAGGATGTGCCCACAGGGAATGGGGATCACGGAAAGATCCAGGAGTGAGGATTTAAGACAGCGGGGACTGAGATCCCCCAGCCTGGTTTGGGGAAGGTACCAGCCCCAAATTCCTTTTCCTCCCCAAATTCTTATTTGATCATGACCAGGCAGCTGGATGTGTTCTTCCCCCAGAAATATATGCCAAGAGAAAGGGATATTGGGAGGAAATTAGGGAATAACCCACCAGGAAGCTGTGATTCACCTCCAAAAAATTCAGGGACGCGATGTCCCGCGAGCGGCTGCACGGATTAATTTTATTTAGAGCCAGGTTTGCAAAGTTTCCCTGGATCTAAATAAATACAGGAATAAGGGGTGAATCCCCCACCTTCCAAACCCCCTTTTTGTCCAGCCCTGGGACAAATATCCCTCTTTGCAATCCAGCTCCCATCCCAAAATCCAAGTCTGATATTGAGCCAAGCTCAGGCTGCTCAAAAATCCTCTGGTCACAAAAGACACCAAAAAGCCAGAAAAAGATGAAGAAAAAGGGGAGTGAGGTTTGGGGGTGTAGAAAAGGCAAGACCAGAGGGTTGTGGAGTTGTAGGCACCCCACAAATCCAAGGAAAAGCCAGGGGGTTACATGAGCATGGAGAAGATTTATGGAAGCGGCAGGAGGGAATACGCCACAGCTTGGGGACCTGTCACGGTTAAGCCTGGGCAAAAATATAGGACAGAAAATACACCTAAATATTTAAAAAGCACATAAAATGTCCAAAAAATAGGTTGTACCAAGGGTTGTGCTGGAATCTGTCCCATTGAGTCTGGGAAAAGATGCAGCCGCGCTTGGGGTTTGCGGCAAAGGGAGAAATATCCTTAAAAACAGTCCCAAAAACCCACAAAATCTCAGTAAAATACCAGCCCAAAAGCTTGGATTAGGGAAGGTGTGGGCTTGGTTTGTTAAGGGATCCTTTTTAATTAAAAATTCAAGAGGGAGAAGCCAAAAGAGGAAAGAAAAATAATTTATTACCGTTGAAAATCAAGCCAGCGGCTCATCGGGACGGTGTCGGACAAGCTGGAACCAAACTGGATCCGGTGACTTTCCAGCAGCTGCAGGGATGAAGGTCTCCAGGACCCTCCAGCCGGGAAAGAAAATCAAAAACACCCAGAACCCGGCTGAAAAAAAACAAAACAAAACAAAAAAAAGGCAGGAAAAGTGAAAAGCCAGAGTTCAATGAGGCAGAGGCGACGCTCGACACCGGACTTATCTCAGCGGGAGCTTGGGGAAGGTTTTGCATCAGCACCGGGAATCAAAGGGATAATAAACAACCCCCAAACAAAACCGCGATGCTGCGCGACCCCCCCCCCAAAAGTTGAGAGAAAACCCGACCCAGGCTCTAGTTGAATATAAGTTTTTATCTTGATGCAACATCATTAAAACCGTCACAAATCGAAACAACAGGTCGTTAAAAACGCTTCGCACGATCAGTCCCTAAAATGCACCAGGCTCCCAAGCTCGCTTTGCCCGCAGGACCCTTTTGTTTCCCCCACCCCACCAAAATTTGTTTTTTTTTAATTTTTTTCTTCTTTTTTAAATAAGCAACTCGTTTAAAAAAAAAAAACAAACAAACAAACCCGCCCCGCTCCTCCGCGCAGGATCGGTCCCGCTTTCGCTCCAACGATTGCACGAATTCTTAATCCTTTTTTTTCCTCTTGTTTCCACAACAAATAATGTGCATTTTCTTGACGTCTGTTTTTTTTCTCTTTTTCTCCAAACATCGAGGTTAAAATAAGATTTTTCCGTTTCCCGAGGGTTAATAAATAAATCTGGTGCATAGTGAGATAGCAGCCAACCGTTTGCAGTCCATATATTACTATATTGCCTTTCAGGTCACCCTAAAATTGTTACCTCTTCCCCTCCCGCCCCTCCCCACTATTTTTAAGAGCATAGATAATTTTAAATCTCTATAAAACAGTATTATTTCACCCAATCGATTCCTGTATATAGTGCATTCGGCTTCTTCCCAACATCGTTAAATTAACTCGGATATTATTTGCATGCTATTACATACAAACTTTTAAGACTCGTGTAATTTTTTTTCTCTTTTCTAAAGGATTTTAGGGTTTTTTTGTTGGTTTTTCTTTTTTTTGTTCGTTTTCTTTTTCTCGTAAATCACCAAGCAAAATATAGGCTCAAGGAAAAAAAAAAAAAAAGGCAAAAAACGAACTAATTTTCTACATATTTACAAGAGTGAATAAGTTAAATGTGGCTCAGGTTTGCCGGCCGGGAATGGGGGGTGGGCGGAGGGGCCGGGCAGGGCGCAGCGCTGCCGGGGACCCCCCCGGCCGATCCGTGGGGATCCCTCGAAGAATAAAAATCCCAATGGAGGGGAAAAACCCGCAGGAAAAGGTGGGGAGAAGCCACCTGGATGGCGCTGATGCTCCCGGGAAGGGGGGCGGGTGGCCGTACACGTCCCGCATGCAGGGCTGCCCCCCACTCCCCCACCCCGGGACCCCCCACCCCGAGTCCCGATGGGTGGGAGGTAGGGAGTTCAACTTCCCCTCCGCAAAATTTCAGTGGGGACTTCATAATATTTTTCCCCATTTTTTTTTCTTTTTAAATATAAGCGGCGGGTTTGCTCTCCCCGCATGAGGAAAAAAAATAAAATTTAAAAAAAAAAAAAAAGGGGATCCCACCCCATCCCACCAGCCCGGCTCACATGAAGAAGTCAGCGGTGGCTTTCGGGGCGGCGGATGGGGAGGGCTCCCTCGGGAAGCCCCGGCCGGCCAACTTCTCATATTTTTCTTTGTACAGATCCCTTTCCTTGGCCAAGCGGGTCACCTCCTGCTTGAGCTGCTCCACCTGGCTCTGCAGTTGGCATTTCTCGTTCTCCAGGATGTGCCGTTGCTGGACCCGCTTGTAGCGGCAGGATTGAGCGTAGCCCCGGTTCTTCAAGGTCCTCCTCTTCTGCTTGAGGCGGATGACCTCCTCCTTGCTGAAGCCCCGCAGCTGCCGGTTCAGCTCCCGCACGGACATACTCACCAGCTGATCGTCGGAGAACCGGTCCTCCAGGCGTAGGTGGTGATGATGATGATGGTGATGGCCGGGATGGTGATGGGCGGCCGGCGGCAGCTCCTCGCCCCCGAAGGGCTGAGGTCGGAAGGGCTCGTACCCTTGGTGGTGATGATGATGATGGTGAGGGGCACCGATCAACGCCTCCACCGCGTCCTCCGGCGTCAGGTTGAGAGCTTCGGGGTTGAGGTGATGCTGGTAACCCGACATCCAGTACAGCTCCTCCAGCTGCTGTTTGGAGCCCAGGGAAGCGGCGGTGGCAGCCGGAGGGCCGGGGGCCGGTTGCCCACCGGGGCTGGGAGCGCAGAAGCTGGGCGAGGAAGGCACGGAGGAGCAGGGCGTGCTGAGCGGGGTGGACGACAGGGAACCGGCGGGCAGGCGGTGGCACAGCCGCTCCGCCTCCGCCGGCTCCTTCTTCACCTCGAACTTCATCAGGTCGAAATCGTTCACGTACTCGATGGCGAGGGGGCTCGTGGGCAGCTCCGCGCTCATGGCCAGCTCCGAGGCCATCTCAGTCCATGGAGGGACCGGGGGGGGAGCCCCCGAGCACCGCCGCTCACCGAGGGTCCCGCGGGCTCCGGGAGCCTCCTCCGAGCGGGCTCCGGCGCAAGCGGCTGCCCAGACCGAGCTCCGGGACCCTCGGATGGGGCTTTGCCGTGGGGTTCAGTGGGGCTCCGGGACCCTCGGATGGGGCTTTGCCGTGGGGTTCAGCGGGGCTCCGGGACCCTCGGACGGGGATCTGCTGCCGGGCACCGGGATCCTCCGGCGGGGCTCCGCTGCGGGGCTCAGCCGGGCTCCGGGAATTCCCGACGGGACTTTGCGGTGGGATTCAGCCGGGCTCCGGGACCTTCTGACAGAGCTCTGCGGTGGCGTTCAGTCGGGCTCGGGGACGCTCCGACCGGGATCCGCTGCGGGGCTCAGCCGCGCTCTGGGACTCTCCGATAGGACTCTGCGGGGAGATTCAGCGGCGTCCGAGATGGGGCTCTGCTGCGGGGCTCAGCCGGGCTCCGGGACCCTCCAGCGGGGCTCTGCTGCGGGGCTCAGCCGGGCTCCGGGACCCTCCAGCGGGGCTCTGCTGCGGGGCTCAGCCGGGCTCCGGTGCTCGCCTCCGACGGGACTTTGCGGTGCGGTTCAGCCGGGCTCTGGCACAGAGCTCCGGGACCCCCAGCCGGGGCTCCGCTGAGTGCTGCGGGGCAGCCACCTCTCTCCGTCGGGGCTCAGCTCCGCTGCTGGGCTGCAGGACCCTCCTCCGACCGCCACGGCTCTGCGCTCGGGCCGGGCGGGCTCCGCCGCTGCCTGCGGCCGGTTCCCAATGGCGAGGAGCGGGCAGCGCCCTGCCCGCCCCTTCCTGCCTCCCCTGGCACCTGCCCCGGCCCCACCTCCCCGGGCTCCGAGCCTTCTCCTGCCTCCTCCTCCTCCCGCCGGGACACGGCGCCCTGGGGGCGGGGGCCGCTCCCCTGCCCGCCCCTGCCCGCGACCGGCGCCGCTGCCGCCGGGAGCTCAATGGAACTCGCCGCCTTTTATACGGGGAAAACGAGGCACGGCCCCGCCTACTGAGGCGAGGCTAAGCTGTTCCAGCCTATCAGCACCCCGAGAGCACGCTTGGATTTTCATATCCCCATGGCAACGCCCCCGGGGCAGCTGTCAATCTCAGGAGGGGGGGAATGCTCCCGGTACCCCCTGGACCCTCTCGGCTCTCGCATCCCGATGTGGGGCTTCATCTCCCACCCTCCGTCCCGAACTGAGTGTAGAGTGGGGAGAAACATCCTAGAAATCCTGATTTCCTACTCCCCAAAAAGGGGAAATATTCTAAAAGGAGTTACTGAGCCTAAATCAGGTTTGGTGCCACCTCGCTGAGGGACCACAGCATCGTAATACAGCCCCTTCCCCACCTCAGGAACAGCCCAGGATCCTTCTCGGAGCACTTCCATCCTTGCAGAAAGTCAAATAAATATAATTTGGGGGATTTTTCGGGATTTTCCATAAGCTACTGGTGGTCAGGATGCAGCCACGTGCACCTCTGTCCCCCAGTGCTGCCTCTGGTTTTGGAGGTGGCATTGCACCTGGCACAGGTGACAGCCACACCTGACACATGAAAGGGAGTGCCACCAGATGGAGGACCAGGATTGCCATCCCAGCACCTGGAAAAGGTGTCACTGGCACCCAGAGGCAGCAGGTCAGGGGGTTTTTGGGGTGCTCATGCCACCCCTGGATGAGGCCCTGCTTGGGATGTGGCCCTGCTGCTCCATCTGTAACATCATGCTGCTGCAGCCTGGGAGGAACAGGACTGGGAAACTGAGGCACGGGGCAGTTGCCATGGAGTGGTCCCACCTAATCCCAAGGGATGAGCAGGTTCAACACACAGAGGCTGGCAACACCCACCCACTCATCTTCTGGGGGTCCAGGACTCTGTCACCTGCAGGATGCATCCTGGGTCCCACTGCATCCCAACCCGGCTGCATCCCACCCTACTGCATCCCACATCCCTCGGGATGTGGGGGGTGACATTCCCCTCATCCAGCCAATGGCTGCTTGGGGTCCTGGGCACAGGGGACACTGCTCTCCATGGCTGCTAACCGACCCTTTGGATATAGGGTCAAATTAATGCAAAAAAGGTGGGTTTTGAGGATTAAAACATTTATCCCGCTGCAACTCCAGCAATTAAAATCCCACGTCATTGCCTATGCTGGATCCAGCCTCTGGGGAGGGTCCATCTTTCTGCTGCTAATTGGGTCAAGGCAGGGGGGGAATTTATTCCCCTTGGGAAGGGTCATGGATGCAGGCAAAGCCCTCAACATGACCCCCATTCCCTGGTGATCCTGGATGATATCCCATACTGGACACAGATTTCCCACTTTGAAGTCCCCAAACTTGGGCATGACTTAAGGGAGGGGGCAAAGAAGCGGACAACAAAAAACCTTTTTTGTGAGGTGGTTTCAACCCTTTTTCTTCATTGTGTCACCCTAAATCCATCATCATCCCACCTGTGTAGTGGGATACTGGGATCCTGCACTGGGAAAAGATGGGGTGCCACCTCCTTTCCCCTGGCACCACGTTCCTCCCCAGAGCTGCTCCACCCTGGGGGCACCTGGCCCCCACCAGCAGCTGCCACCCACGCTGGGACAGGAGCCACCAAGGGATTAGGAGCGGGCTGGGCTCCAATGGGGCCGTGGCTCCCCAGCGACACCCCCGGGGTATTTTTAGGAAATGCCCATGGCATGTCCCCAACCCTCCCCACCACGCCAGGCCCGTCAGCTAAGTTTACTCACAGGCGGTCAAGTGACATAACCAGGTTGGTGGCCCTCGGGATGGTGGCAGGATGGCGTCACCTTTCACTTTTAGAGCTCTCGTGTGCCCCATCACTCCTTGGAGCAGGGCCGGGTGCCCACCTGGGGCTGCCTCAGTTTCCCTGGATGGCACACAGCTCCCAGTTGGGGTGTTTTTGGCTTGGGGACAGTGACTTCACCCCATGGGAGGGTGGTGTCCACCACGATGCATCCCACGGAGAGAGGGTGGGACCATCTTGGTGATGCTGCCCCACAACCCAGTGTTGCTGCAGGGTCAGGAATTTTGGGGCGGAAGGGGGAAATCACATGGAGAGGCTGGGAGGACGATGAAGATGAGGATGAGGCTGAGGAGGAGAACGTGGAGGAGGAGGAGGGCAGGGAACAGCCACCCAGATGACAGGCAGAAAACTGATCCCGGCGGGTGACGTTCACCCGGCACCTGCTTCCCCGGCAGGGGACCAAGAGCGGTGCCAGCAGCACCCGCCGCAGGAAGGGTTTTCCGGGAAATGTTTATGGAGTCCTCCAGAAACTCCACCCTGTGCCAACCTCCCAGTCATAGCACCCCCCAGGGAATGTCCTTGGCGGGTCCCCGAGCCCCAAGAGCGCACCCCCAGCTTCACAGCGAGGTGGGATAAATCCCGCTGGAACCCACAGCGGAGGAATTGAGGATGTTGGAGACAGAGGGGGAACCCACTGGAGTTCAGTGACACCTCTCCAGGGGCCGCGTTTATCCCTGCTTGGAAATTAATCACCCCCAAGCAGAGCTTTAACGACAGCCGGCTGGAAATTCCAATCCTCCCCGGGAAGGGAGCAGCGGTGCCGGTGGGCGGCGGAGCCGCGGCTCGGAGAGGAGCTGCTCATTGCCTCGTTTAATTAATGCAGCACAAGGATTACCCTCGTTAGGGATCCAGGGAAAACCAAAGCTCCTGGCCACCACCACTGGGCATCCCTGAGGATTCACAACAGCACTGTCTCCTCCAGGGTGGTTTTTAGGGAATTTAGTTGGGGTTTTTTTTAGGATACCACCATTTGAAGAATCATTGTTTCTGGGTGAAAAGTCTTAATAATTAAAAAAACCCAAGGATTTAGGGATCAGAGTGACTCCTCCACTGGATTTGGATGGATATTTGATGGGATATTCATGCACTGCTGGAAAAAAGAGGAAAGCCACAGGGAGGATTCTCCATCCCAGGGGAGGAAACTTTTATTTACATATCAAAACACAGGAGTTAACAAAAGACATTTTCATATCAACGAAAACCACAACGTTTTTATTAAAAATCAACTCGTTGGACACACCCTGGAGCACAAGTGACATCCCAGGGTGAGGATCTGCTGGTCCTCCGGTGCCTGGGGGATGTTGTGGATTTGGGATGGTGACAAAACCCCTTCATGGGGGTCACGTGATGAAGGGAACCCCGCTGTGGGGACCTGTCTGGGGGGTGAAGCCACCATCCTTTGGCATTCCCTACGCCATCTCTGATCACACCTGGATCCTGCATCCCCAGGGAGCCCCAGTTCTTCCCAAATCCCTCTGATGCCTTTTCCCACAGGATTTTCCCTGAGGGGCTGTGGATGAGCAAATCTCACAAATCGCATCTCTGTGGGGGAACAGCACCTGCCACCCCAAAATTCCCGTGGAAATTTTACCTATGGATGCAAAACCCCATGGTTCCAGTGTTCCTTCACTCTGTTCCTACTTGGATTTGGAGAGTCCCCAGAAACCCCCAAACCCTGGAGAGTTGGCTTGGCATTCCCAGTGGAGCCCAGACCCCTGCTGGGATAGGGAGAGGTGGGGGGTCGGGTGCAACTGGGCCATGGGAGACCCCGAAATGCAGATTGTGATCTCCCACTCCCAACACATTTCCATGAGGGATGCTCTCAGCTCCAGGAAATCTCCTCCCAAAAGCAAGGGGATGGAGCAGGATGGGCTCTTGGAATGGTGGGATCAGGGCTGTGGGGGCTTTACACCCATTACATCCCAGCACAGTGACTTGTCCATAATAATCTGGATGTGGGAATGTCACCGGATGGCATTAAACCACCTCAGGTCTCCCTATCACCTTGTGGCTGGGACAGCACCGGAGGATGGATGGGGATAGAAGCTCTTCCCAGCCCCACAAGCATCCAAGGAGGTGGCAGGACTTGCCGTCAACAAAACAGCTGAAAAGGTCATTTATTGGTCAATTCAAAGATTCCAAACAAAGATGCTTCCCTGCAGGAATGAGCGGTGCATTCCCACGCTGCCACACGACTCCGTGTCCCAGTGACATCCCGGAAAAGCATGAGGAGGAGGGGGGGTGCCATGTCTGCACATGGCATCCTGAGGTAGGTGCCAGGTTGTTCCCTGGCTCTCCAGTTCCTGAGCTGGTTGGCTGCCACAGGATTGGGATGGATTCACAGCCGGGGCTTGATCTGCAGCCGTTTCCCTGGAGGGAGGGAAGGGAATGGTGAAGGTGGGAAGTGGTGGGAACACAGCTGGATATTCCCAGGCTTCTCCTTGCCTGGTCATGGGAAGGGGTTAAAGCACTGGGAAATTGGGAGTGTGGATGGTTCTCCACCCTGGTAACACCCACTGGACTCACCTCTGCCACCCACAAGGGAATTCTCAGAATCCTGCAAGGATGTCCTTGGGAACATTCTCCTCCTTTTGGTGTTGCCTGGGAAGGAAAGGAAGAAAAGAGGATAAAGTCACTGAGGTTGGCTCAGGTCACCTTGGAAATCCCTTGGAATGCAGGTGTAGGAGGATCCTAAGTTCCTCTTCTGCTTCACATTCCCCTTGGCCATGTCAAGGATGGAGATGGCTCATTCCCCAAATCCCTGAGCATCCCCAGCTCCCTACAAGTGGCACTCAGAGGTTGCTTCCCACCATGGAGCAGCAAATCTGCTGCAAAATTCCCAAGTTATGGGTGAAAAAGAAAATTAAAAAGGATCCAAACTTTCCCACTGGTGAACATCAGGACCTGCTTTGGTGCTGGGATGGAGCTGGAAAGAGCTGAGCACCAGCAATCATCCCTTCAAGCATTCCCAGCATCCATTTAGGATGCTCCAAGTGATGTCTCCTGCTTGCTGGAACCCGGTGCTTCCTCCAAAGAGGGTTCTGGATGCTCATGTAGAGCCAAAACACCATGAAGTGCCTCTGGGAGGTGACCTCCTTGTAGGACAAGCCCAGCATCGAAATCCTTCTCCATTTCAACCACAACATTGGGAGTACCTTTCTGCAGGTTCTCCTATTTCCCCTCTCCAAAGGGTTTGGAGAGGTGTCTATGG